AAATCTAATGGGAATAATTTCAGATGGTTACGATGTAGTGGTTGATTTGCTTAAGCACGTTGATTGGAGCAACGAATGTGAGACATTGAGGATAACACAAGTTGTAATAGTGGCTTTAGCGGTGACTAGTTTGACAGTATGGATCGTGCCTTGGAAATATGTGTTTATTGTTTGTGGATTGGGGATGTTTATTGTTAATACACAATTTGTGAAAGCCTTAACTAAGGAAATGAGTCCTTTTATTATAGCAAATTACAGAAGTTCTATTGAGAAATGGGAAGGTTGTTTTAATTTTGAAAATGGTGAGAAAACCGAAAGTAGTGGAAATGATGGGGAAATTGACTCTTCAATTGAGAATGCTTGGGTTAATCTAAGCAAAGATGAAGTTGATAATGGCGTTGGAAGTTCTTCAAAAAATTGATGTTTTACAATTAGTTTCTTGATAATTTCACATGTTCATATCAGCATCTTAATTCATGCTAAACTGAATCCAATTAAATGTAATTATTTTTTATTTCTCCTTAATTCAAAATGTCAAATATATGCAAATTTTAAAAAAATGAATAAACTCTTGAATTAACATGCTATTCAATCTCTTCTTGTGAATAAATCCTATGTAAACTAATTTAAAGAATGCCTAAAATTATGCAAAATTATATTAAACCGAATAAACTTCTAAATTGATTCACTACTCATTCGCCTGTGGATTTTCTTTGCTCTTTTCGGGGAAGCACTAATTTTAAAATATTTATTATTAATTTTTTTATAAAAACAAATGTCAATACTCTTTTCTTACCTTTACCGAATATACCCGGTGACAATCCACTCCTTAATCTTCGTTTTAATTCTGATCGAGCTTTGTCTTTCATGTGCATCTGAGTTCGCTTTTTAAGGGGACCTTTAGAGCCTCCATATTTTTTTTCAATCGATGACCAGCTAGTTCCGTATTTTTCCATACCTTTAATCAGGTAATTTAATTCATTTTGTGACCAACCACCTTGTCGTGATGCACCAGAATTTCGTTTATTAGACTGACTTTTGTTTTTATTCAATTCAACAATCACTTCATCATCTTGTGGAGAATCCAGTGACTCAGGATTTGTAATTGTTGATGGCTGTCTATGAATAGTTTCGACAATTGATTTGGCTTTTGATTTGTTCTTGTTTCTTCCGACATTGGATGATGAACCTATTAATGGGTCCATTGATGTAAATCCATCTAGATCTATATCCGCAGATTGTACAGTGATTTCGTGATCATCAGTTGTACTTTAAAGGGAAATTATGTCAATAAATTTAAAATAAAATAAAAAAATTAAAATAACTCAAATAATTAAATTATTTTACCGATTTTTAAATTGTTCTAATTGTTGATTTAGTTCTTGTTCGGAATATTTATGATATTTACGAAATGATTCGACATACTTATTTGGCCGGATACTTGTAAAGCAATAAATTATTTAAGATTTTTTTTTTTTCAAAAATTAATAAAAATAAATTAAATAAATAAATACTTTGGTCTCATGAAACTGTCTGAACGACTGATAGAAGTTCCATAATCATTCTCAATATTTTGATCCTGTGTTGTAGCTTGTGAGCTATCCGGACTATGCTCCATTGAACTTAAAAAAACGTCTTTGGTTTCCTAATTTCAAATATAGTATAAATTAAACGTATAATTAAAAAAATGCAATATATTTAATTAAATTGCTTACTGAGATAATTATCGGAAGATCAAATTTCTCCGAAAAATTGGATATATGATCAAAAAGATTACTCATGAACGTTTTACAAGGGTATTTCGAAGATAAAGTGTTAGATTCACTATTTGCCAACTTGAGAGTTAAAAAAAAAAAAAATAAAATAAATAATCAATCATTAGATGTTCGAAATGCAAAGAAAACAACTATCATTAAATACCGTATCTCTCCTTTCTAAATATTGTGTAAAACGCCTTGATGGCTGTTCAGCGTCAAGTGGGAATATCTTATGCAAATAATTGTCTTTGGAAACGTTTGATGCACGGATATATAACTACAATTATAAAAAAATCAGTCATGTGAATTAT